AAATGTTTTGACACCTAAAACCCCCTAAACACTCAAAACTAAACCCTAATAGAACATAATTAACTCAAACATAAATAATATAAAGAAAACATAATTTTGAAAAAATTGTATTTTTGTAAAGATTTCAAAAATGTGGTATTTTTGTAAAATGACATTTGAAAAATGGTATTTTTTGAAATTTTTCTAGCGGTGTTGTTTTAAATATTGGACCACCGGACCAATTTTGTTTTCATTTCTCAACTCCACCGCCCTATATAATTGCCAAATTTGTGCTTTGTTTAAGGTTTTTAATTAAGGAGCCTTTACATTGACAATCAAAACTGAACATTTAAGATTCTCCTTGTATTCATTAAAACGGAGTCTTAATTGCGTGTAGTTTCATAAAAAAAAAAAAAATTAAACAGTAATTTATTTTTCTAATACCTATAAAAACTCTAGAAAATCAAACTTAAACATATTAAAACCAGTGGCAGAGCTACGTTAAGCTGCCCCCAGTTAGTTAATTTTATAAAAATTTGTCTATGGCACCAAATTATGAGAATATTTCAGCAATTTTGGTTACGTTCTTTCACTATATTGCCCCCGTACTCAGATTTAATTTTGCTTCGTGCCCCCCCCCCCATGAGACTCCCATGAATTGACATTTTTTTCCCATCCCTTGACATTAGTACATTACTTTAATAAAAAAAATTTCTATCAGTTAATAAATATTTATTCTATCTACCATTAATTTTTATTTTTGTTCTTCTCGGTCCTCCACTTTGCTTATTTAATTGACGCTTATGCTAGAAAAGGATATATTTAATTGATTAAATTAAACAGTACATTGTGTGAGTTACAGCTTACAACTAGTATAATTCTCTAATTTTTTTTTCCAAATGACTATCATATATGTTTGATTTAAAAATTTAAAGGACAAAAATTTTATTACATTAACAAAATACTTGTGTATTCATTCATACATAAATACGTTAGTATAATAGATTTTCTAATGTGTGAAAGATATAATATTATATAGTTTATAAAATATGTTGCCCCAGTAAAATATTTTTTTTAGATCCGCTACTGATTGAAACGGAGGGAGTAGAATTTTAACTGTGTTTTGGAAAATTTTAACACTTAAGAAACAAATTACTGTTGTATTTAAGTTTTCTCTCTAATTAATAAACTATGGTGTATTTCGGTTGAAATTTTGTTTAAAATGATGTATTAAAAAAAAAGAGAAATTTTTAAAAGTGACATTTCAAAAATGCCACATTTTCAAAATCTTTGTAAAAGTGCCAAAAAATTTCATTATATCATTTATCTTTGGGTTGACTATGTTGTATTAAGGTTTAGTTTTGAGTGTTTAAGAGGTTTTAGGGGTCAAAACATTTTTAGGGTTTATAATTTTTAGATTTAAGCTTTAAAAATTATAATTAGTAGTATTTTTGCAAATGAACATCCGTGGTATTTTTACAAAATTACACTTGCAATTGCCCCTAAAAGAATGAGTATTTCTAAAATAAAAATAAAATCACCATGTGAATTTTTTAGAGAAATTTTAAAAAATGCCACTTTTCAAATGTCACTTAACAAAAATGCCACACTTTTGTAATCTTTACAAAAATGCCACTTTTTCAAAATTATTTTTTCTTTATATTATTTATGTTTGGGTTAATTATGTTCTATTAGGTTTTAGTTATGAGGGTTTAGAGGGTTTTAGGGGTCAAAATATTTTTCAGGGTTTAGAATTTTAAGATATATGTTTTATAAATTTATAATTAGTGGCATTTTTACAAATGGACATCCTTAAGTGGCATTCTTGTAAATATGCACACAAAAATAACATTTTTGTAATTGCTCCAATTTTTTACTTGAGCGTTTGTTTATCAATTTCAAGTAAATGTAGAATATTAATAATTTTTTCACGTTCTGAAATATTAAAACTATTATTTTCATCGGAATTTTATCCACTATTTGACACATATCTATTATAATCAAAATATTATATAAAAATGGAAATCGAATGTTTTTCCCACCATCCCTTCGTGTCACACTGCTGTGCTCTTTCGTCCTGATCCATGCAACCAAAACCGCAAAATCGCAGCAATACATATCTGATCTTTTCATTTGCATAATATGATCATTAACATCAATAATTATTTACGTGGATATTTACTTACACATGAAAAACTGCACTATTATATCACAACATTAGTTTCTTAGTTGATTTTGAGCTTTTTTGGATCGTTGATTCTGAGATTAATTAAAATAATCAAACGCGGATTTACGTAATTTTATACTTGCCAAACGTTTGATTACGATAGATACTAAGATCTTTCTGTGAGTTGTATACCTTCTTTTTAATATTCACCTTAAGCATTTCCAATCTATCAGGACTATACTATATTTTTAATATATATGCTTATATTATCACCGATTAGTGATATTTGTTAGTTTAGTCTCTAATGTCAATGATATCCTGTTTGTTTGTTTTTTTGTTCTCAATAAATTCTAAAGATTAGTATTACATGCCCGAGTTTTAAAAAATGTATAAATTAGCTAAATAACCAAAAGTTTAGCTATATTTAGAAAAATGATTACAATTATGGATATTTTTTTGAAAAGCAGCTGGGGATTTTCTTCTTCCTTTGGTTAATTTGTGTACAATTTTTGATTTGCCAATGCAAATACTTTTAAAAAATTCGGTAATGATGTTGAAAAAAAATAATTTCTGGTAATATATAAAAAAACCAGTAATAAAATCGATTTGAATTGCATACATTTTTTTTCTTAATCAAACAAGGGTTAATTTGCTC